TTCAATTTTAGTAGATTTTATATCTACTGAAGCTGGTTTTGATGCCAAAAGTGTTTGAATTTCGTAAGTTCATTCTTTTTTTATAATTTTCTTTTATGTTCACCATATCACGTGTTAGTGCATCTTCTTTTCATTTTTGGTATGTTTATCACTTCTCTTGCATTGAGCATCAACTCTTTATATTAAAAAACTTTTTTTTTGAAACTTCCTTATATACTGATCTTTTAATCACATGGACTTAGCCACAAAGCTTTGTGTACATTCATATGCTTTCATAGATTACTGAGTTTTGCCTCTAGCTGGAATTGAACCATTGACCTTGTTTGTAAAGAGAGGAACATCTAGACTACTAGGCTATAGAGCCTCATCTCTATGTTATTAAAATATAATATTTATATTTATATTTAGTATTATATTTTAATAAAATATATACTAGTATTTGCAGAGCTCTAATAGTAAATATATTATATATTAAAATTAGATAAAATCTTAATTGAATATATATACAGTTAAACTTCTCTATAATTATCTTCTCTATAGTTACAAAATTAATATAATTACAAATTTATTTTTACTAATTATTTATAACTATATAGAAAATACTTTTATATTAGTTATATCTTTTTACAATCACAGTTTTTTGTATTCTAAAAATGTGACTATAGAGAAGTTTAACTGTAATTTTTTTTAAATATTTAGATTGTATATTATAAATATAATAAACTCTTTTTAAATATAAACTGTTAAAAATTAGGTGTAGGTCCTATAGCTTAATGGTTAAGCTCCTATACTCCCACAGTTAAGGTCAATAGTTCAAGTTTGGCTAAAGGCAAAATCAAAAAGATTTTAGCTTCTGTAACCCATAAGGAGCCTATAATTGAACACGAAGCTCTGTGGTCAAGTTCAAGTGCAGTATATGACAGAAAAGGAATTCTCAGAAGAAAACTGACTTTGCAGAGTATAGGCACTATATGTAACAGTGGCATCACAGAAAATTCCATTACACAAAGGGTTTGCATGTATACATCCTCTGAAGACAGGACAGTACCAACATCTCTGCATCCAACTTGTGGAGTACTTAATTGGGAGAATAATACCAAGGTAACATGAACTGGAGTGGTGAGAGAAGTGGTGCATGCATAGAAGGTTTGTAACAAAAGATTAGCCTTATCAAGATTAGAAGCACCTCTGGCACTGTGGAATGACTAAGAATAGAAGGTAACTATCTGTATAGAGAAGTTGTAACCTGTTCTGTACATCTAAAGATTCCAAACTGGAGCTCTGGTCACACCTATATGGAAGTTTATAGTGAAACAAGTGGAACATATCAACATAAATGCTGTACCAATCATAGTTGAGATATCTAAATTGGAAGTAAAAACCTACTCGAACACAGTATGGACACCTTAGTTTAAATGTAGATTCAGGCTAGGATGTTTTTAAAAAGGTAGGGGGATTGCCTACAGTTGAAAACAGAACAAAGGAAAACCTGCAGCATAGTGTAACAGTAGTGGAAATGTCAGTCAATAGCTGAAAGAGATGTGTATTCATCCCTGAAATAGAGTTCCATCTATACCATAAAAGAAAGTACTTAAGAAGCAGGTTAAATGCACAATTTGTTGGAAATGATGCTAAGATCAAGAAGGGTTGCAAACCAGCAGCGGCAGCAGAAACCTGGCTTGAAATACATGCTACTAGTACCTGAATTGAAAAGTTAGCAGTGGCAGCAGGAACCTGGCTTGAGACACATACTAGAGAGGCACCCTTCAGGTAAACCAAAGATGGTAGCTCATAAAGAGCGAACAACCCGGTAGACCAATTTGGGAGTTGTTAAAAATAGGTTGTGAGATATAGGGAGAATATGTAGATTACCTAATATAATTAGTAGTGAAACAAAAATCCAGTTTAGGTGTGAGTGGAACACAATACAAAACTTTGGTAGATTTAGGTCACAGATAAATATGTCTGAATCCTATGTCTGAATAGATATATAGTGATAGCTAATGTATAATAGATTTGTACTAGCTATAACAAATATACTAATAAAGACTAGAGGGCATGACCTCACCTTAATACCAAAAAAAAAAACTGTTAAAAATTACTATATTTGGAGAATATTGTACTTTGAAAATTTACTTTAATAAAATAATATAATATAATAAATAAAATTTTATTTAACTATAAAAATAACTTACAATTGTAAAAAAATTTTGTATATAAATAGCTTGCATTTATAACAAAAATTTTGTGCTTAAAATAGCTTGCATTTATAGTAAAAATTTTGTACTTAAAATAGCTTGCACTTATAACAAGAATTCTGTACTTAAAATAGTTTGCACTTATAGCAAACATTTTGTGCTTAAAATAGCTTGCACTTATAATAAAAATTTTGTACTTAAAATAGCTTGCACTTATAATAAAAATTTTGTACTTAAAATAGCTTGCACTTATAATGCTTATAAAGTTTCATTTAGATAAAACTAACTGCACAAAGTGTATATATATTTTAAATTTTTATACAAATATTGTTATATATTATATCTAAAGTCTTTATAATTAATAAAATATATTAAACCCAGATATTGCATATAACTATTTTAGCATTAAATTATTAATTTTAATATCTATATAAAAAAAATTATTTAATCTAAAATAATTTTTTTATAAATAAAAATTTAATATAATATTATATTTGATTATCTTTATATATTATTTACTTTTTTATCAATAATATAATAAAGATTATTTATTTTAATAAATTCAACACAATGATTAATTATTGTTACATTTATAAAATCATAGTCAGAAAACTAATAAAATATTTTGTTCTTAAAGAATTTTTAATAACTGGTATTATTTAGTTTATGAAAGCTAATATACAATCTTTATTATTAAATTTATATGCCAAATAGTATTTAATATTACTATAAAATGGTTTTGTTTCAAATACTGGTTTATATTTTTGATTATTCATATACTTGTCTATTTTTAAATTATATTTATAATATTATTAGCATTAAGATATACATCAAACCTTTCTAGTATAATCATCCAAATCATTTATATAATTGATGCTCAAAAATATAATTGCTATTTAGCATTATAAATTTATTTAAAATCTATACGTAAATAATTTTAATAGTTATGCTAGGCTTATTATATATATATATATATAAGTGCCTTTAAGAGAAAGCTTATAATTAGATTTTTAAAATTTATAAGTCTAATAACAAGTTTTCTTTTTTTTTAATATTAAAGTTCCTATTTTTAAAATGTGATATTTTTATTTAAGTATATAAAACATGGCATGCTATTAGGAGCTACCTTACATTGAAGATTACAACTAGTTATATATGCACTTTTGATATCTAATTTAAGTAGTTTATTTATATATTACTATATAAGTTCTATAATAAATACTATACTTGCAAGCCAACTAGGAGTTTTGCCTATTTAAATTTTCTGCATATGCAATCCTTTCTTGTGTCATAAGAACATTTTCAAGGCTACACCTATTCAAGTTTTTGATGCTAATTAGTATTTTTAAAACTACTTTATCCTTAACAAAAAACCTACTAAAGCCTTTATGTCTTATATATACTGACTGAGTTTTATGCAACATGCTATAGTTATCTAACACTTGCAGTCACAGAAGTTACTTGTTTAACTGCTACATTACACTATTTCTATTTTTGTAAAGTTTACTAGAACTCAGTACCTATCTTTTTAGCATTTTCTCTATTATCTCCTACTAGCTACAACTCAAAACTGTTAGTCTTATTTCAGACTATCAATCCAGATAGCTTAGTATGATATACTTCTGTATTCTTTTTCTTTAGCAAGTCCAGCAGTTTAATTGATTATATGCATCTCTATACATATTTGCCATTTGGTTTTAACTTTTAGTTTCTATAAAGATGTTTTGTAAACTTAAATTAGTCTGATAGTACTGTCAAAAGTTCATGCTATTTTTTTACTCAGGAATTTCCAATTAGGTTTCTATTATCTCAGTTCTTTAATCTTCTACACCTAATGGTTTTATTATAGGTTTGCACTAAAGTCTTATGCAACACTAGTTATACATTTCTTTATAAATATATAATGTTATACTTTGTATAAATGTCTTAAGCTTCCAATGTCAGTAGAACCCAACTTGGTATATCTTGGTTACAGATACATGAGACCAACTAATCAACAGAAAACAGTTATCATAATGCAAATATAATTTCCAAATTTTATTATAAATGGAATTTGAACCTTAGACCTGCTACTTAGAGGATAATAACTTAACCATTACACTAGAATCACTATTTTTATAACAAGTTTTCTCTTAATAGCATTTTATATTTTTATTTAATAAATTATATTATATGTACTAACACTAAATAGTTTATATATGCCTAATCTTAATTTTATACAATTTAATTAGATTCTATACAATTTTTATATTTGGTATATAAGTAATTAAATTTTTGTATTTGTAATATAAAAGACTAAATATTTTATATTAGCAATTAATTTAAATAATTTTTATTTGTTTTTTGTTTTTTATTTTTATTTTTATTTATTTATTTATTTTATTTATTTATTTATTTATTTATTTATTTATTTTATTTATTTATTTTATTTATTTATTTATTTTATTTATTTATTTTATTTATTTATTTATTTATTTTATTTATTTATTTTATTTATTTATTTTATTTATTTATTTATTTATTTTATTTATTTATTTATTTATTTTATTTATTTATTTTATTTATTTATTTTATTTATTTATTTTATTTATTTATTTATTTATTTTAGGATATTGCTATTGCTACCCCTATTTTTGCTAATGCCACCCTTTATATAGTCTAACTCCAATTAAGAATTAGGGTTAGGAATGTTGGAGGCAATCATATTAAGTGAGGTAGTAGCATTAGCAAAAATAGAGGGTAACAATAGCAATTCCCTTATTTTATTTATTTATTTTATTTATTTATTTATTTTTTATCTTTTTAATAATTTGTTACATAATGCTCTTTTATTTTTTTAATTTCTGTATTGCTCAATATGCATTGTTTTGTAAAACCAAGAAAATTTTTTTCATATTTATCTGCTATAAAAATAAATAGGTTTGAACCTTTATTATTGTTTAAGAGAAATATTTTTTAGTTAATTTTTTTATAGAATTGTAATAATTAAAAAGTTTAATAGTATAAAATATAATTAATAATATTTTTATATAGATGTAATCATGATCTTGCAAGTAGTAGTAACATGTTTCAAATATGTTCAATTGGAAACTGCTATGTTGCTTAGTATGGACCATTTTGCTAAATACTCAAAGATATAAAGCATGTAATGTATATATATTTTCATTATATTAATGCATTTGATTAAATTTTTATAATACTTTTTAGTAAGTATAATAAAATGAATAATAAAAAATTAAATATAAAGTAAAAATATAAAGTAAGCATATATAGTGCTATTATATTGTTTTTTTTAAAAAATTCAAAAAAACTATTACTTTAGTAATTAATTAACTCTTTTTGTCAATTCTCAATTCTAAAACAAGAGAAAACAAAATACAAAAATAACAGAAAAACAGACTAGCAAACACCTTTTAGATGACTAATAAAAAACTTGTATTAAAAGAAAATATATATAGTATAGCAGAGTTTAGAAGACAAAAAGCTGTACAAAGATATTAATAAGAAACAGTAATATTTTTGATATAAAAAATAAAATTTTTTGAAAATTGACATTACTCTAAAAAAAAACAGAAAACAAAACACATGATAACTGTAGCAACAACAAACAATAACAAACAAACAAGATTTATTACCTAATTGGAAAACAGTAAGCATTATTATAGAATTAGTAGCATAGTACTAACAGCATACTAACAATATTACAAAAGCTTAATTCTAGGTACTAATTAGCCAAAAAAGAAAAATCTTGATCCAGTCTGTTAAAATATAAACCAATAAATGAAAACTGCAATGCAAATATTATATTCTATATTAGAGGAATAGAAGATAGAAATTGAAGACATATAGACTATAAAATTTTGGACCAAGTTCTTAAAACTCCTACACAAAACCCAAGTAATATAAAGCACATTGCTAAAGAGTTAGCAATATATAACTTAAAACATATTACATCTTATAACATGCTAATATATGATCAAATATTAAAAACTTTAAGATTAGCAAAAACAAGCTGGCTTAAAGAAAAGATAATTGATGTGTAGTTAAAGAAGCTTAGATCAATAAGCTTCAATTTAGACTTTTTTGAATATAACACAAATATAAACAAAGAAGTAATACACCAAGAAGAAAGAAGAACAAATAATAAGCAAGAACTAGTAATACTAGAAGAACAAATAAAAACTCTTAGTATTACTATACCATATTACCAAACAAGCCAAACTGCTAATGAACCTAAAATGCTAAAAAGTAACATATTACAAGAAATAGAGAAAAATAATGAAAGCACAGATATGGAATTAGAAGAACAAGAAAAAGAACCAACTAATGAAAAAACTAGTATTTCATTTTCTGTAAGTACAATTGAGCATAATCATTGGTCTCCAGAAAACAGAATATGCAATAAAAACAATTTCTTTAAAGCAAATATGCCAATATATGCATTGCCAAATGAATTGAAAAAAGAAAAATAAAGTATATCTAATGGATCTTGGAAAATAACTATTATATCAAAACAATCAAAAAAGTGTTCAAAAATGAAAACAATTAGATATAAGTAGATTTTGATTGTGAACATAGCAGAGATACAGCAATAGACAGAATTAGAAAAAAAGAAGATAAATAACTTAAAATAATTCCAGAAGAGGATAAGAATAAAAAATCAAAAAACAGAGCAGCAAGAAAAACATAATACTAAAAAAAGAGAAGGAAAAGATATAAAACAAACAAGAAAAAATAAAGAACCAAGAAGAACAAAATAAGTAAAAAAACAAGAAAAAAAGGAAAAGAAAAAGACTCTACAAAGAAAAGCATCATAATAGAAAATGGTAAAGAAGAAAAAGAAAAAAAGAAGTAGCAAAAGAAAAAATAGTTAACTATATAGGATCTATCATCAAACATTAATAAAAATAAAATAAAATATATATACAGAAAATTTAAAAACTTAAATATCATATAAGTTAAGAGATCACTATACAAAGCATTGGCAGTAATAGTAGCAAGCTTAGAGAATAAAAAAAATATTCTATGAATATTGCTGCTTGGCAACAACAAATTAGCACATATAACAAATGAGATAAAAATTATAATTAGAGAAACAAGCAAGAACAGTATACAGCTAAATTTTTAAACATTCCAAAAGGAGTTTCAGAAATGCTTCTGTTATGATGTCTAAAAAACAAAGATGCAAAAACAGTATACATTTCATGTAACAGAAATAGAAATCAAAAAAAGTTTGCAATAATCAACTTTGCAAATACTCTAGTAGTAGAAGAAACCCAAACAACATCAATATGGTACAATAACTACTAAGTAAGTTGAGAAAATTCTAAAAGAAGAAAATTACAAAAAAGAGATGAGTCAAGGGGCAGAAACAAGAAAGATCAAAAGTAGATAGCAAAAAACAAAAGGTATTAAAAATTAGAAACATAATGCAAAAAGAGCCAAGTAGAAGATACAGTAAAATAGGTTTGGACCCTTTGATACAAAATATAAAAGAATAGTTAAAGGACAGAAATGTCAATATAGAAGTAAAAGAAGATGATTTAAAGAAAAGAAAAACCAAAGCAACTCTGTAAGATCAAGCAAGAACAGTACATATAGAAGATATTTTGTACTAAATTTTAAATAAACTAGACAAAATAGAATAAATGCAGCTAGATACAAGAAGTGGCCTAGCTGATTGCTTCTAAGAATGTTACAGTTAAACTAATAAATATAAACAAGAAGATTAAACAGTTTTTGTGAAGTGAAATAAAAATGTTTAAAGAAAAAAAAAGAAGTAAAAACCCCTTGTCAAAAAGAAGAAATATGTAGTAGAGAGAAAAAAGAATCTAAAAATATGATAACAAAACAAAGATCACTAAAAGAAAAATGAAAAAAGAATAAAAAAAAAATAAAACTAGCATGTTACAATATGAATAGACTTAAAACCAAAGTTTGGAAATTGAAAAATCTGCTTAGCTAGGCAAAAGAAAAAGAAATCATAATATTAGGAATTATAGATACAAATTTTATAGAAAAGAAAAGAAAATTTCTAATATATACGATAGGCAAAAGATATATAGGATTTTGGACAAATGCAGTTAAAGATAAAAAAAAAGTTTAGACATTGGAATTATGATAAATGAACAATAGAAAAAACATATAGTATAGTTAAAAAAATAAGTAAATATATAATAGAGATAATACTATACTTCAAACAATTGGAGTTAGTAGTGATTGTAGTCTATATATCATTAAATGATAAAGTAGTAGGGAAAAACATTTAGCAAAAATTATAGAAACAGTCTTAAAGAGAAAAAAACAAATATAAACTATTGTAATAGGTGATTTTAATTACATAACAGATAATATTTTAGACAGACAACATCTACAAACAATAAACTACAAAAGCTTGTCAATCTTCAATTGGTTAAAGAAACAAGACTTTAGAGATACATATAAAGACATGAATTTGATGAGTCAACAATTTATATAGTCTAATGGAGAAGCATTAACAAGAATTAACTACATATGGATATTAAAAGAATTAGTCTTAGGCTTACAAAAAGCAGAAATTGAAGAAGTAGAAGATATTACAAAGAGTGATCACAAAATAGTAATGGCTAAGATATGGATTAAACATATAATAGCAAAAAAAAGCAAAACAAAAATAAAAAGAAAAAGGTAGTCAAGAACAGTATACTTGTATAATCAAGCAAAAATAGAAGACTGGAAAAATTATGCACAAGAGTTGCAAAATTGATTAGAAATAAAGAAGTTATTAGAAGACATATACAAGAAAGAACAAAATAAAAAAAATTTTGAAAAAGATAAACAATATATAGGATATAATAGAAGAACTAATCATCATAGTAGCAAGTAAACACATATCTAAGAAAAAGTGTATACAAATTGGTTTATTTAAATTATAGCAAAGTAAATAATTTCAGATTATAAAATTAAATTAACTCAGTATAATATAAAATAAAATTTTTCTATCATAGTAAAGTAACATTAAAAAGAAATAAAATAAAATAATAGAAGCAACTATTTTATCAGATGCAAAAAACAAATATGAAATTATACAAGTAAGTGGATATATTCTTGTCTAGATTTTTTATATTGTTTTTATTATCTATACAAACATCTTGTTAATAAACAACAATTTTTATTTAAATTTTTGAATACAAAAAGACAATATGACTATTCATTACTTTTCTTTGCCAAATACAAGATTTCATCTATTGCTTTAACAAATAATTCTTGAATTTAACTTGGTATAGCAGAAACATTAGCAGAAATGTTAGATAATTCCATTAAGCAAGGTAGTTCATTAAGTAACTTATGAAATTTAGTTGAGGATACAAGTTTTAATGTTATAAAAAAAAAGATAAATATAAATACTATATAAGCAAATTTAATGTTACATTAGTCTTGTATAATTAGAAAATAAATAATTCTAATTTTATAAATAGTTTTAATATTTAGTAAAGTCATTTTTAAACAAAATAATTAAATACAAAGATGCATTACATGCTCATTATTAGCAAGGTACTTGGATATCAAATAAAAAGCTAACATTTTGACTATGTTAATTATTAGCTAATACTATTTATATATAAATTCTAAATAAATAAAAAAAATAAAAAATTGTATTAATGTTACTATTAATAAAGATAAAAAGGGAAAAATGTATTGATATTATATATTAATTAATATTATCTATTATATATCTTTTTAAAAAAATTATATTTGTACTACAAACTTAATATCTTCTTTTAAAATTAAAATTTTAAACTTTGTTTATTTAAAATTCTATAAATTTATAAAATTAAAATAAAGTTTATCAAATTAGATCTAGTGATTGTCAAGATACCTTTGCCCAAAGTTAACTCTAGTCTATTAAATAAAAACTATGCCAAAATTTTCTTAACTTTGAAAAATGATATTTTAACAATCATCTGACCAAATTTAATAAAATTTCTTTTATCTGAACTTTAAAGATTCAAAAAATTCAAATAAAAAAATTTATTGAATTTAATCAGATGATTGTCAAGATATCTTCACTTAAAAATTAGTAATAGTTGAGAATATCCATCAAATTGAAACTGCAACAAATGTTTTTTAAAGTTTGAACAAAGATATTTTAACAACTACTAGACCAACCTCAATGTTTTTTTTTATTTCATTCTACAAGTTTATAGGGTTGAAATAAAAAAATATTTATCTAATTTGACAAGTAGTCATCGAGAGACCATTGCTAGAAGTTTTAAAAAAAAATTAAAATTTCAAAAGGACTTACATAGTACAGCCAATCTAAATTCGTAAAAAATGATCTATGCCACGTGATCTGAATTTTTTTTTCGCCATGGCTAGGGTACTATCGTGCCCCTACATTACATCCCAGATGGAAGTACAAAAATTAATTAGTAAATTGCTTAAAATATACAGATTTATTACGCAACTAATATTTTTATTAGTAAAAATAATACGTGAGGTTATCATTTCAATTTATAAACATTCTACGGTAGACCATCTTTTTTTTTTTTATCTCTGGCTTGGTAAAATTTACAATTAATTGAGTATTCATAAAGATCGTACAAGTAACCTTATCATGCAACAACCGAATATTAACAAACTAAATGTAGTGATAATGACATTTGATAAAATATTAATGGATCTCTCAAGTATCAATTAAGTATCAATTAAGTAACAATTACAATTCTTATTTTGATTGATTATAGTAAATGAGCATTGTCACGTTTATTAGCTAATCACATAGAGAATAACGTTTGTGCAAACTTTGATTACTTCTTAATTTGCATATTTGATTCGTTATAAAAATTTTAAATATAGTTGTGCACGATTACGAACATAAGCTAACCACATCGAGGTTGAGGTTTGAGAACGCCCATAATTAATTAAAAATTAATAGCGATTTTAACAACACCAGCTATGTAAAATCTAATTTTTAACGTTAAAGTGAATGTTAAGGTGAATGTGAGTTAAAGTAAGGTGAACGTTAAAGTGAACGTTAAAAGTGAATGCTAGAGTTAAAGTAAACTTGATATGACAATGGTTATATAAAGAAGCCAAATATGATAAAACTAATTTATACTGCATATACAAATTACATCTCAATTTAATGAAATCTTTTAATCCAAAATTTTTTAATCAAGAGTTTTATTTTTCAAATGCCATCCTGGAATTAAATTATATAGAAATTTATCTAATTGGTTATTACAGCTAGGGATTGAACCCGTTTAAAAGTTTAAACTTATTAGCTTACTCCACAGTTTTGGACCGAATTATGTTGATCATAGGCAGGAATTATATTAATGCTGGCTGAATGAAATAAATGGTTAAACGATCATAAATTTTTAGGCAGTTCCAATCTCTAGTCAACAATCTAATTTGTTATTTCATTATATAAGGTCGATTATTAAAACATTCAATAGCATTTTTTTCATTTAAAAAAGTAGTGTCAGAGCTAATTGTATAACTATAATTAAGATTGCTATGTTCTAAACTGATTCCAATAGCTTTAATTAGCCATTCAAAAGCCAGCTTTTCATCAACGGAAATTCCTATTCCTTGTTGATAACACCTAGAAAGATTACGTTGTCCGTTTTTACATCCATTTTCAGCAGATTTCTTATACCACTCGAAAGCTTGTTTTGGATTTTGAAATGTTCCAATTCCGAATTCATAACAATGAGCAAGATTATCTTGTCCTTGGCTATTTCCCCCCTTAGCAGATTTCATATACCATTCAAAAGCTTTCTTATCGTTTCTCCAAGTTCCTTTGCCGTATTCATAACAATAGGCAAGACGATTTTGTCCAGAACTATTTAGTCCCTCAGCGGATTTCATATAATGTTCAAAAGCTTTCTTTTCATTAATATCAGTTCCTATACCCTCCTGATAACAACGACCAAGATTGCAATATCCAAGATAATTACCCTGTTCAGCTGCCTTCATATACCATTCTAAAGCTTCTTTTTCATTTTTCGTAATGCCTTCACCACATTGATAGCTATACCCAACTATATTTTGTGCTCTTGCATTTCCTTCTTCTGCAGCTTCTAAGCACCAATGAAATGATTGAATTTTGTTTTCAATAACGCCATGACCAAAATAATAACAGTCACCAACATAACATTTTCCCAAAATGGAGCCCCTAGCAACAGACTTTAAAAATAATTGAAGAGCCTTTTGTTGATTTACAGTAATGCCTTTTCCTAATGCATAAATTGACCCAAGGGAAATCAAACCAATAGACTGATTGTCTTTTAATAAATCATAAAAATGACTTTGATTATTTAAAGAAGCATTAGAGGTAAAACAAAAATCATCTGCTGCTTGCTTATACATTTCAAATGCTTTGCTATAGTCAATTTCAGTTCCAATTCCATATTCATAAAAAAATCCAATAATGCTAGTAAAACAAGACCTATATTGATAGCCACAATATTGAACAAGGGTTTCATTTGGATTTTTATCATTTTCATATATATATTTTTTTATCCAATAAATTATGGAACTTGAAGTACCTTTTGAAACCCCCTGGATATTAAATTGATCTATAAATAATTTATTTAGATCATAAAGAAACTGTTGTTCACTATTCGCAATTTGTTTACTTGGTTTTGATGATGGTTTTGCGGACCTTAATATCGGTATGTAGTGATCTTCGAATAATTCAGATTTAATATTTTCATTTAAAGATTTTTTAAGAGTTGTGACAATAGAAAACATTAATTTTAATTCTTCATTAATCTCTTTATGTAAATTAGTATGCTGTTGTAATACGTCCGTTGAATTTAAATCTTCCGATTCTATTGTTTCTATTGTTGTTTTTTGTTCTATATTTTCATTAGATTCTATGCAATTTTCTTCAACATCGAATAAATCATTATAGATAATGTTATTTAAGTCATTAGAAACATACTGAATTGTTGGACGTTGGTCATGTTGCCAACATTCTAAAAAGTAAATACCAAGACTTTAATACAATACTACCAAAAATTTTGCACAATCAAATATGTAATTAATTTACCTATATAGATTTTACTGTATTTCTTAGGCGTTCCAGAAATTATAACTTCGCGCTTACCACGAATAATTGCATTCAATAAACTGAATCCATGAAGCAGCTCTGATTCAAATGGGACAGAACCGCTTGAAATTTCCCAAAGAAGAACTCCAATACTATAAATATTCGAACTTTTACAAATCTTGTAAGTTTCAAGATTTTGTAAATATTGTGGATCTATGTATTGGATGAATTTGAAGGTATCAGAAATGTCATTCTGGTATTGAAAGGTACTAAATACATTTAATTTAATATCCCCCTTATGAACTAGTATACTTTCTGAGTGCTAAAATAATTAAAAAAGAATAATTTATATTTAGTATTAATTAAAAAAGTGAATTAAAATTAAAATGGATACATACTAATTTAGTATGAACTATGTCATTTTCATGCAAGCATTTAATAGCACTAACAAGCTGTCTTGCAAGACGTAGCTTATCGATCCAATTAATTGATTTAAAAGTTTTGTTTAAATATCGGCGAAGGGTTTCATCATAAGCATATTCATGAACGAATATAACGTAATCTTTGCTTTGTTTTATAATGCCTATGAATTTTAAAATATTTTCATGTAACTCTACTTCTTGATATTCGATTAGCTAAAGTAAAATTTCTATTAGTGTTTTTGATAAATGATATATTTATTCACTATAGAAAACTTACGTCATTTATAAAATTTTTAAATGTGTAGTTTTGAGAATGAACAATCTTTAAAACCACAAATTTATTATACTTTTTTGAGAATACTCTGTAACTATTACTAGATAGAACTGTACTAGTAGTTTCACCTTGTGCCAAAAAATCATGTGGGAGAAACTTGATGTTATTTATCTCAAAATTGTTATCTAGTAACTGGGTCATATCCAAATATTCAAATGACTATAACAGTAAAAAAAAACTACGATAATTAGAACTATGAACTTATTTATATGGAATTTATGTACTACGTACGAAACTCAAATTTGACATTTACGCAGACTTTTTTTTTGTGTAGCTATAATGTACAACTAAAATTACGTAGGGATTTGTATCTCAAAAGATCGTCTAACGCTAACTTCAACGCATCAAAATAGTCTGCCCTTAAATTTTAAATTTTCTTGTATAACCATCATTCCGGAATGGCCATTCGATAGCAAAATCGAGCATATACAGTCACCTCGAACTGATGGTTCTGGGAAAAAAGTTCGCTATGGAAAATTACTATGTTTTCTTAAGGACCCATTACATTTCATATGCCAAACTATTATAAAAATTTTTTGAGTTCATTTTATCCAGAGTTCACCATATAGAGGTGAGTCGACTGTATTTATAAAACAATGACAAATTTTTTCACATTGAAAATATTAAGTTTTATATTACATTATGTATTAATACTTAATTCAGTTTCGTTAGTGCAACAATGAAATTTTTTGCAGAAATTTCAGATCTAGCACAAACCATTTTTATTTTCAGTTCAATCTATATTCTAACTTTTTTACAACTATAGGCAGGTAGAATTGAGTGAAAGATTAGAAGAGCAGAATATCCCATGGGTGGTGCTCTTGGGAAATGGTAAGTTAGCCAGGTATCAAATGGAAGAGAAGACCACGGGGCAGAGATGAAAAACACCAGTTCATGGTCAAGTTGTTCGGCATCCCAGAAGGTGCATCAGAAACACTTCTGCTAGGTCATTATTAAATCTGTTATATATACCGTATTGTTATAGGTAAATTTAATGAATTTTCAATATACATGGTGGCTCGATATAACGGAGGCCATGGTTCCAGTCGGTTGTTCCGCTATATCAAAAACTTCGTAATATCAAAATCTCATAATATATGAGTGCTGTAAAGTGAAAACCTGGAAGTGAATCTTTAAGTTTATCACTGTAGCGGACTTAGTCTTATAATATATAATAAAGACAAAGTCCGCTACAGTAATAAACTTAAAGCTTCACTTACTCTACAGCACTCATATCACATATTATTATAGTAAATCATAATCTGGTTCCATTAAATGGTCCGTTATATCGAGAGTCACTGTGTAATTGTTGTAAGCATATATGAGTACTAGTACTAGCACCAAGTAGGTTAGCAATAGGGATGTTAAGCCGTTCTAGCACCTAAATTAATTAGCGGAGCATAATTTGGACGGTCAAGTAAGCTTGTCATCGCAATAAAAGAAAAAGATATCATAGAGTTGTGTTTATTGGCTAAAATCTTAAGATCCGCATTTCGCACTATGAACCTTCAGCAAAATTGCCGTAATAATGATCTCGATTAATTATAGTGCTTGTGGATGGGCAAGGTAATTTGTAAGTAATAATGACCTATTACTTATTACTTTACTTATTAATATTAAGTAATTATTACATTATATTACTTATTGCATATACATGATAACAGTCGATCAAAACTAAGATTGAACGAAAAATTACTTTTATTACCTACTGCAAAAAATCTTAGATAATATTAAGTAATATTAAGTAAGAAAAAAAATGATAATTTCCTCCACCATTTCACTATCGGAGAGCTATAAAATTGGTTAATAACACAGATATCCTGATCTGTGAATAATTAGTTAAACCTCGTTTATTAGCTGATCACATTGAGAAAGATGCTTGAGAGCACCTCTATCTCAAAAAATACTAATGCAATCTAACTAGTCTAATAATAACTACGCAGTTATAAATTTTAATTGCAAATCCATAATCTGTGACAAGCACTACCGTCTGACATAAACTATTAAATTTAAAAACTTACAAATTCAAAAGTTGCTTTTTGACATTAACTAAATAAATATTCATATAAAAAATGCATTTAATTTTAAAATTAAACGACATGTCGTTACTTTAACCATACTAATTGTTCAACACATTCTTAAATAATACTTAATTCTACATTTGTCGAATGAAGATAATTCAAGGAGCTGAATTCGCCTTTCATTCATATGTTTATTCGTGAACTCATATTTTTGCAACACTTATTGAACAATCGCGACTAATTACATAAAGAAAAATACTCGGAAGGTTTATTTTTGTACATTATACAGACCTTTGAATTTATCCAACACGGTTCGTAATATTTTAACAGTTTGAATTAATGACTAAAAATGAAGTGATGCCAGAAATATCGTTCTCTTCCATTTTTTAATTTGTTTTATAAAATATATTCAAATTTGTATAACTTGTGAAGCATTTGAAGAACGTTTCATACTAAAATTTTTTTTTATAAACTTTATTAAAAATCGGTTCTCTTTTAAGTCTTATTAGAAGTCGATAGGGTTATTTAAACTTTTAATTTGCACACTTTTATGTTAGATAAAAAAAAATTTTTAATTTGTAGAATCGCAAAAAAATAATAATCGACTTTAATTTATTAGAACGGCAGTGATTAAGTTCAATGCATAGTTCATAAGTTTTGTCCCTCATCGAGGAGGTGTTCTAAAAACTATGAAATATAATTATGGGTATTCTGTCTCTCCTGCTTCGTGCAAACATCCAAATATAACAGAGAATTTAAAAAGCATCGATAAATGTGCGGATGAAGCATTATCAAATCAATACCTACCCGAGCGTAATATCTGTACGCCTGTGAAAATCTCTTTGTGACTGTCGTTCTGACAGGCCACCTACCAAAAAACTAAAATTTGATTGTCGTCTCGACAGGCCAAATCCACTGATAGATAAACATATACCTGGAATGATACCTTTTTGTGACTGTCGTCCTATTAACATTAAAAACTTCGACTGTCATTTGACGTGTATGAGGGCGGGTAAGGGGCGGGACGAAAAAACCAAACAAAGTCAGGTTAGCAGAAAAAACAGAAGTTATTGTATTTAAGAGAAAATCCGTTCCCTTAAATCAAAAATATTATGTGATTATGTTGTTATTAAACTAAACTCTAATGATGTAATTATATTGATATTATGATAAACTCTACTGATAGATTCAAATCAATTATATCATTTCTACATTAAATTCTAATAATGTAATTATATTGATACTATAATAAATTTTACTGATAAACTCTAATAAATTACTGATTACAATTATTATATATTTACGTAATCTTATTATAGATCTAACAATTGTTTAGACAATTACTATATAATTTCATAATCATTACCTTATATGATCTTATTAATAATCATTCAATTTAAGATCCACATTTCATGTTTAACTCAAGATAAAATATTATTCTGATACTTTGTATTGGGTAGTTAATTTTGTCTCTTATTGAAAAAGTATTCTAAAAACTATAAAATATAGTTATAGGTCTTTGCAAAGTATCATTATAAGTTTTTTCATTTAAATTTAAAATTTTGTATTTTACAATACTATTTTTTTTTTTTCTTTCTTTTTTTTTAAAAAAAAAATTACATTAGCTGTAAGGTTTCTAATTTTGTAATATTAATAGCTCTTATACTGTTTCTAACTAGTAATGCAAATTATTGGTTGATAAACTAACTAGTTGATAACATTTTAACCAGTTTATTTAAAAAATTTTAAAAATAACTAAATAATTTTTTTTTTTTTTTTTTAAAAAAAAAAAGTGAGGTCTTGCCTTGATTTTTTTATTGATTATTAATATCTAAATACATTTTTATCTGTAGTACATATTATTTAATCTCTAAAAACTAAGACTTAGGTTACTTTACCTACAACCCAGACTTTGCTAAAGAGGGTCAAAGTCTCCACTTAGTCTACAATTGTATTGATATGATTTGATGAGGTATTGTAATTTATAAACATTTTTTTTCATATTTCGAGTTTAATTTTTGTTTTTGACTCAGTTAGTCCTGTGTTATAAGTATCTGCTATTGCTGTTGAGACTGTTAGCATGTCTGTTTTATCATCTGTTATCTGTGAAATATTTTGTTTCGATAAGTTGTTATATTATTCCTTACATCATATTAACCATATTTCTTTATATATTTTTTGTACAATTTTGTGCATTAAGTAAATTGATAGACTGTGTTTTGATCTTGGTACTTTTGCTATTTTGTTAATTAGACTTGTACTATTTTGAGAAAGCATTCCCAGTATGATTCTTGTTAGTTGTGTTTGTAAATCAGTTAGATAGATACTCTAAGTTATTAGAGTTATGATTTGATGTCTTGTTTGGATATCTGTGACTTCGCATTTGGTTAGAGTTTTGCTAACTGTTTCTGTTATTATTTTTCATAAGCTCGTGCTATTGCTGTTACAGGTTATTAAGTGATAGTTGCTTTCTGTTGTTACTTGGCATCTTATACATATTGAATTCAGGTACTTTTTGTTGTTATGTTTATATAATACTTCTAATATTGGCAGCTCTTCTAATAGTAATTTTAGTTTAAATGCTTTTAGTTGCGAGTATTTTGAGTTTGTTTGTCTTTGTGTAGGTGAACATTGGTAATTTATATAGTTGTAGAAGGATTTCTAATCTACTTCTTTGCGAATAGTATCCCATATTTGAACTCATGCTTATGATTGCCATTGTGTTATATGTTGTGTATTCTGTGTATGACATATGAATCTTCTAATATTATATTCAATAGTTGTATTTTGTCATGTAGAGTATAGGATATCATGGCGTATATTTTTGTGACTTATTTCTATTTCTACAATAGGAGAGTGTATGTTTGTAGTATATGTTATAAGGTTATTTACTAGAAATGTATAGTTTAAGTTTTTTCTTGTGATTAGTGCTTTCCAACTTGGTCAATTGTTTAAATGATATATTTGGTATATATCATTTGTTGTAGTTGTGTAAACTGTTTGGGCTAGTTTTGCGAAGTAGTTTTTGTCTATAATACTTTGAATCCTTGCCTCATTTGTTGCTATTATTGAGCTAAGTATTAGGATCATGATGAGTGTTTTGTTTGTTGTAGGCCATTT